CTGGCTCAACACATGTGGATAAATCCATCATTTATATAAAATGGTATCCCCCTCAACGCGACTGGTACAAACTTAACACGGATGGAGCCTTCAAACACGAAGGAAACAAATCTGGTATTGGAGGAGTCTTCCGAAATCATAAAGGAAAATGGATATTAGGTTTTCAAAAAATAGACAATGCTCTTTCACCTTTACACTCAGAACTCCAGGCAATCCATGAAGGCATGAAAATAGCAACACAACACAACCTGTTTCCATTAGAAATTGAAACAGATTCCACTGAAGCCATCCATGCATTAAACAAAGATCACTTTGTCATCAGTAATACTGTTCATTCATGCAGGTTATTGATGCTCCAGCAGAAGGACCTGTCCCTACGGCATAACTCCCGTGAAGGAAATCAAGTAGCACACCTTTTGGCAACAGATGCATGCAAGGATACTTTTTGGCAACCATGCAAGGAGACATCTAAACTACATCCAACACCACCTCTTTTTGTAGCCTCACAGCTTGCTAAGGATCTGGATGTTGTTCATCTTTACAAGAAGTCATTAGACATTACGGCATGTAATAGACTAAAACTTCTAGGAAACCAAAATGTCACAAACATTGGTTCACCAAGTTGTGACAAGTTTTACTTTCAAAGCGTATGTACCGGGAACAATTTCTAGTCTTTATATAATATAACTATCCATATTATAAAAAAAATGAAATATATATATATATATATATATGTGTGTGTGTGTGTGTGTGTGTGTGTGTGTGTGTGTGTGTGTACTTTTTCCTTTCATGTATAATTATTTTCTACATAATCATTGTTTTGAAATTACTTATAAATTTTTTTTGCTACATGACTCAGTATATACGTGCAACGTACGTGCGGCGAAACTAGTTTATATTAAAAGCACGAAGGCCCTTAGCAAAATATCGTTCGCCTTTTATCGTTTAAAAATAGATTTCATATTGGACTAATTTATAATTTAGGTTATTTTCCTATTATTTAGAACTTTAAAATTGCTAAAATTTTATTTATCAAATCATTCCTTATTTGAACTATGTATGAAGTCCTAATAGATAGGATTTAATAAGAATAGTATAAGAAAACAGAAACATGTAAAAGATTCTCCAACAAAGTAAAATGATCCAATTGCATAGCATCATTAAAATTGTATATATATTGGATCCAAATTTTAGTTCTGACAATCAATGGTGTAACTTTAAAGTCAAGTACAATTATTTTAACTTTTAATTTATAGATTTTTTCTAGCGTTTAATAGTAGTATAAATTAAAATAGATAGTAGTAGCTAATACACTTTCACATAATATTTGAGCTCCCTTAATATTTAAATAATATGTTCTCTTCACCATTTTTGGTATAATATTTAAAAATTGCACTCAACTATTAGAATACTTAATCAAGTATTTTCTCTCCATCAATTTTATGCGTAATATTTTGAAAATTACACTCAATAATTACAAAAAAAAATAATATCTAAAAAATTAAAATTAAGTTTTACATTAAACAAAATTGAAGGATAACCATATAAGATATAATGTGGTATTATTCAATTTCATGTTTGGTTGAATTCCTTTAGATATAAGAAATTGCAAGAATAGTTATACCACAATCTTAATTAGCTACTATTTTTATTTATATTCATGTGGGATAATAATTTGTAAATTAGCTATCCCAAGATAAAATAATTAAATGACCGAAATATCTTTCTCCAAAGCGCTTATTCCAAAATCCTTTAAGAAAATCAAAGTTAAAGTTAAATATAAAATATTTTTTTATATTATACTCTATATATTTTATTGGGAAAAGGGTCAAAATTGCCCCTCTACTATTGTTTATTAGTTAGTTGTTCCACCCGTTACACTTTTCGGCCATTTTCATTCCTGCCGTTAATAAAGTTTGAAAAAATACCCCTAACCCTAACATTTTGACACTATGGCAGCTGACCACATCAATTTTATCCATGTCAGCTACCAAGTCATTGGAACCCGCCGTCTCTCATCGGAGCTGGTCACTGCCATCTGCGTTTTCATGAACTCTCAACCACCAAATTGCTTATCTTTTACATGGATTAATGCACCATTATCTGATTGAACTACAATCCCCTTATTTTTTTGCAGCCCAAAATTTTGACAGAGAGCTCCCAAATCTTCACCAACTGACCTGAGAATTTAACTACGACCCCTCAACAATCATCAAAACAAAATCCCATAACTCAATTAAACCAAACAACAACCAGATCAAAAAGCCCATTAATGTTTTCAAGCTTCACCAAAAAACCCTCCAATGGAGTTTTTAGCTCCTTCTCTAACGTTTCAAGTAATCAAGTAGTTCACAATCAGGATTTTTAGCTATGAAACGCTGCCAGCTCTTCAAAATTTCAGATCCAACCTCTTCTTGTTTATAGATCGGCATCTTCAAATCGACAAAACCCAAAAGCCCAATCGGCCTTCAATGGCGTTTTCAGACCTTCGACGGTGTTTAAAATCACATTTTAGATTTAAAACTACAACATCCATACTAATATATAGTATATTTCTGTATATAATATCTCAAGCCCAATCCATCACCTTAGAATCCATTTGCTACCGTCACATCCTCCTATTAAAAAATACAAATTTTCACCAAAGACCATAAAGATCAAAACTTATCTTATATTTTTGGAAAAAAAAAAGATTTTAACTTTGTTGAAAATAAAAAAGCAGAACATATAACAAAAGTTCAATTTTGGACTTATCAACTATGTGAAAACAAGCTCCAAAATTATAAGAAGGAACACAACAAAGACATGGTCAGAACGTAAGTTTCGATTCCAAATAGTTATTATCGAAAAAAAATTAGGCAGCTGCCATGTCGGGTTCCATACAACACCAAATACAACTGTGTAGCTGAATATTTCGATTTTAAGGTTTTTGTTTAAGATTTTGTTATTGTTTTCCTCACGTCATGTTATTCACGTAATAGACAGGCTTTACACGTTCAGGGGATGTCTCCCCTGAAATAATGAAAGTGCGCTTTGATTCTTCTGCTGAAATTTCTGGTTAGATGAGTAGCAATTTTTTTTATATTCAATTTGAGTTAACATAGGTAATTTTGTGCTATATGGTGTTGATCCATGGTTTGTATCAGTAAATACTGCACAGAAGTGGGAGCGTGCTTTTGTTAAGAAACAACAAAAGTTGGCAGTTTACAGTTTATACGTTCTGGCAGTTTGATTTCTTTATTTTATATATTGCAATTTTTTTTAGTTGTTTTATCTTATCGGGTAAACCGATAACCGAACCGATAACGATATATAACCGATTAACCGATAACCGATAACCAATATCTTATCGGTTTGGTTATCGGGTTATGATATTTGTAAACCGATAACCGATAGGCAAAACCGATAATGTTCAAAACCGAACCGAACCGACCGATGCCCACCCCGAGAAGAAGATGATAATATTTTAATAAGAAAAGGGGTGGGTTAATTAATGACTTGGCAGCTGACATGGCAGCTGACATGGATAAAGTTGATGTGGTCAGCTGTCATAGTGTCAAAACGTTAGGGTTAGGGGTATTTTTTCAAACTTCATTAACGGCAGGGACGAAAATGGACGAAAAATGTAACGGGTGGCACAAGTAATCAATACACAATAGTAGAAGGGCAATTTTGACCCTTTGCCCTATTTTATTTTTAATCCAATGAACCAAATATTTATAAATTGAAAGTATATCTAACAAATATCTGTTTCTTATTTAATTTTCGTATCATAATTTCCACATTATAATCCCAGTATATTTTTTGGTGAACCGAAAGACCCCGTAAAGTACATAAATTTATTTTTATAAGGGATTGGCGCAAAAAACATTTAGACAATAGAAAAAATTAACTATATTATAATATTCAGAGTCAAATTGGTAAAATTACGAACTTGAAAGTTCATTTTTACCGAGTGTCGGCTCCAATGTTATAAGTAGTAAGACATTTACCTTAGGCCCCCAAATTTGGGGGGCCCCATTTTCTAAAAATAATAGATTCATAGGTATTTAAAAAATAATATTAGTACTTTCAATATAAAAGTAGAGTTTTTAATATATAAAAAAAACTTTTTAGATATATAAATAAAGTAATAATTTGACTTGCTTAAAAATAGGTAGATAAATAATTTTTTTCAAGGTTTCAATTTTCCACTTCTTACTCCATTAAAAATTTTACTCTCTCGTCCATAATTTGTTCAGGTCAATCTTTCTTTTTTGCAATCTCTTATATTTCAGAAACTCATACATATTTTCTGTCTTTCTCTTTGACATTTTACTCACCTTCTTTCTCCAAGATTTCATTATTCACCTTCTTTCTCCAATATTTCATTAGTTCAAGTGTTCAACAATACTTTTAAGCTTCCAATAGTTCTATAGTTCTATTTCTCTATAAAATCTTATCTAAGATAAAAAATATCTCAAAAAAATTAAATGAGTTGGCTATATTATCAATTGAAAAGGAAATATAAGAGAAAATCGATTGTAAAAAAGATTATTAACAACTTTATATTTCAAAAAGTTAAAAGAATATACTTCAAACAAAAATCACTACAAGAAAAAGGGTCATTAGCGACAAGAAAACTAGTCCCTAAAGGTGTGATTTTGGTCCTTGAAGGTCAATAACGACCAGTAAAATCGGGTCGCCACTCGTCGCTAAAGGCTCCGCCGCTAAAGGCCAATAACGACGAGTTTGAGGAGCTGGTCCTTAAAGAGTTTTAAGGACTGAAAAAATCTAGTCCCTAAAATAGTTTTAGCGACAATAAATCTGGTCCTTAAGCACTTTTATTTTGGTCCCTAAGCATAGACCAATTGCTGCCTACAATATTTAGTAACCAGTTCTACTGGTCCTTAATGAGTCTTTTCCAGTCATATTTTTTTTTATAAATTATATTATTTTTCGTATATAAAATCACATGCACATAATAAAAATATCAACAAAATCATGCTTTCATATACAAATATACAAATGTACATGTATAAATTGGTTATGAATTATAAAAATGTGTATTACATCCGATTGTTAATTGTATAACCATGATTCATATGTCACCGTGCTGTTTACACAATCTTTTAGCAAAAATAACTTTTTTCCTAACTACCCTTGCAAGTGATAAACAATATTGTATGAAGTCTTCAAAACTTGCATCTTAACTTGTAAGTTAACTCTTCAAACCCTGTAAAAAATAAAAAGTAAATTTTCTTTTAGAAAATTATGAAGATCATATTATGTACAGGGACTAGGGTACTATGTGAGATAATTATACCGGGGCTATTTAGTATGGATGAATCATTAGAATCGAACTATCAAATAAATAAATTATACCCATAACAGAACTGCAACAAAATGATAAGGATAATTATATTCCTCCAATGTAAAGACAGAGATTCATTTTTAATGGCCAAAGTGAACAAATATCTAAAGATAATAACAACTTTTAGTTAAAGTAAGATGCAATTGTCCTTCTTACAATATTTTTAACTACACCACCCAACCTCTTTCATTTCTATTATTTACTTCGTGAAGTTGAAGTAAGATGCAATTGCCTTGGAATTTTTAAATTTTTGTCACATTTATTCCTTGTTGTGTTTTTTACTGTGACGAGCTTAAATGAAGTGATACAGACAATTTATAATGCCCAAAACAACCAACATATTCTCAAAACAATAAGAAAAAAACAAATATTAAGATTGATAAAGCATTAGAGTTAAATTTCATAAATCACTCGCCCATGAAGGTATTGCCAAACAACTTTTATTGAATTAAATTTGAGTTTAACATTGTCTTCTAATTCAATTAAAACTAGCTAAGAGATATTGAGATTGACAAAATAAGATGTTTGTGAGCTAAGAAAATGACCTCATGTGTAATCTGATGTTGCAATCTTAAAGAAGGTTTCTCTTGTCGATATCAACCACTACGTCTCATCATCTTCCACAAGTTCCAACAAATGACTACAGGTAAGCATTGCATAATCAACTTGTGAAGAGGATTTCTTAATACTTCAAACCACCAGTTGCGAAAATACATATTATAAATGTAAGCAGTGTTTGAAGATTGCAATATATTATAAATAGCTAATAGAAAGTGTGGTAGAGTAAGATATTGCTATGTTGGGCTTTTTATTCTCTCTTTCATCTCCTTTTATCTTCTCTCTATCAGTTGGTTTCCATTACTATTCAATTGCAATTTCCCTTATTAGTCTATTGTAATTCAGTTGAGTAATTTTGGTATAATTAGCCAGTGTGAGTTATTAATTAGACTGTTTTACAATCATTCTAATATCCTACTGTACATGTTTAAGACCTAGCTACTGTGAAAAATTCAGCAATATTGAAGCACTAATAGTACAACCACAAAATATATGATCCATAGTTTATTCACAAGATCTAACACCACATAATTAGAAGACAAAATAAAATCCAAAGGATTTGATCTTATCATCTATTGACAGCTTTATTTGTAACGAATTCCACATTAGAGAGGACAATTTAAGTAGATGAGGCTTCATCCAAGGCATTTTATTCATAAAAGATGAATTTTGACGTTGTTTAATGAGGTTTCATGCATTTAAGCAAATAACCTTTATTATAAGTAGATCCAATCCAAACAACCTAGTCATATTTTGATACCAAATGAATTTTAATCCCACCTCACCGGAAAAATCTAGGAACAGAGTGAGAAAACTTCAGCAAGTGATACCATAACATTGCATACTACAATCTCCATTCCTTTCCTAACACAACACATCATATTTAGGTAAAAGATATTTTTCTTTTGTTCTTTTTAGCTCTGGAATAATAAAAAGACAAACATTTTAGATTATATAACAATTAATTTAATCAACTTTCAGTATTTTTTCTTTTTTTTCTTTAGGAAGCGCTCACAATCCCAAAAATACAAGTGTTTACGGTTGCATTTAAATGGACATCTCAGCAGAGAAAGACTTCTGTTACCTACATTTCTTTCTTCTCACGAACAAAACAACTAAAGGGAGATTTCTTTTATTCCCTCATCCTCCTTGCTCTACACCCAATCTTTAAACCTAACCATAGACGCCATCCTCACATCTCAATAATCCCACTTTAAATCCTACACCGCAACAATAAATATTCAACAGAATTCGTACAAAATATTATCATTCTCTACTATCAATATTCACTAAAAAAATTCTAGTCTTCAACCAAAAAGAGAAGAAAAGTGACAAACCTGTTCAAATTGATAACCATTGTTATTGTTAGTTTGTGAGTCTTCACCCAGTTCAAATAGACATCACGTGAGTCTTCAGCCTTTGAGAGATAATTTGAAAGAGTTGATTGTTAAAGACTTCATATGCTTTCAGATTGAAAAACACATTGAGAGGATAGGGTTTCGTTTTGGGGAAAAATATGAGAGAGAAAGAGAAAGAGAGATGGGGGAGGGGGTTAATTAATATGCGTATTCTTATTTCATCTAATAAATAGGAGTAATTTTAATATTGGCGCGGTGACACTTTTACTCCCCGCTTAGCTTATTAGGGACGGGCAATTTATCTTTTCAATTAATTTAGAAAATAAAAAGAAAATTAGGGACCAGCCAAAAAACATGTCCCTATAGGCACACTTTTAAGGACCAGATTACCGTCCGGTCGCTAAGCGTTGGTCGCTAATAAACCTTTTACATGTAGTGAATATTTCTTATAATTTTCTTTTAAAAACTTAGACCTCATATTACGCTTTTGCGGTGTCGCATATACTTGAGCCGCCCCTGCATTCTCCCTCAAACAACGTTTACCCTATCGATCTATAACTCCACAAATTAATCCAGGGATAAACAATGAATCACTTAACTAAAAGTACTCAACGATATTGAACAAAAGAAATGGTCTACATTCAACTAAAGAAATTGAAATAAATATAGTAATAATCTAATTAAGGAATTCAAGAAAGGAGAAAAGTTGCAGTACCTTGACAATGATGGCTAGTAAAGATGAAGGAAAAAAAAAGGGCAACCACGAAGGGTATTTATAGATGGGGAATATCAGTTTTGGTGACGGATTAGAGAATTATACGGCTTAAGAAATTTATAATAGGGTTAAAAAACGAGCTTTTTTCAATTTTAGCCCGCACCACAACTATTTATATTCAGTAGCTAGAAATATATATCAAACTTATATATATATATATATATTATTTTTTTTCGGCTACATTTTGTGAGCGTTTTTTCCCTAGAAAAACCACATAACAGGAGGTTCAAATTTTTGTTCTTTTTTCCCCTCTTTTGGGTCGAACAAAAGAAGGTTCTGGAATGGTAGAAGAAATTGGGTTTGTTATGACAAAAGACAATCTTAAAATTTAGGATTCTCTTTTTTGTATTTGTATCTCTTTACTTTTTCTAAATAAAAAAACTCTATTCATCGAGTTTTTTATTGAGAATTTTACCTCCAATAGCAAATGTTGATACCTTATTTATTATAAATAAATACCCTTTTAAAAAACTATATCTTATAGCTACCTTTTAATTTTTATAGCAAAATATCTATTTATGGCCACTTCCTACCTTTAAGCCATAAAATATGCCTGTTATTATTTTTCTCTCTCCCTCTTTCTTCCCTCTCTCCTCCTTTCTCTTTCCTCTTTCTTCTCTTTTTTCCTTCCCTGCTTTTAGAAATCCTAGCAGGGGCTGTGTTCCGCCAACGACAGATCCGGCCGGCGATCACTCCCCCCCCCCCCTCTTGTTGTGTCACCCTAACCCCTCCTTTGGCCGGCGATTTCTTTGACATAGTTGTGTTACACATTTTAAATTTTTCTTAGATTTTGCATTGATTGTTCATGTTTGCCTTGTGAGATTTGAAGAAGTTCTGTCTCTAGTTTCCGTTTGATCCTTTAAATTGGTGCTTCTTCAACAACTATCTTCATTTAACTGGTGGCGACGCCCCACATGACGGAGGCCTAAATATCGGTGAATTGGGGATGGAGTTTGAGGCTGAGGAACTTGAAGAGTCTGTTACCATTTTTTTCATTGTATTTCAATGTATCTCGTTGTATTCCATGTATTTCGTTGTATTCACTGTCTTTTTTTTATTGTATTTCAATGTATCTTATTGTATTCCATGTATTTCATTGTATTCACTGTCTCGTTGTATTCCATAAATGTATTCATATGTTTTTTTAATTAATATAATTTATGTATTCAGATGTATATATGTATTCAAATGTATCTGCGGTATGTATTCATATGTTTTTGCACTATAGATGACCTGCTATACTTCATGTATTCAATGTATTTTTATGTATTTAACTGTATTCAATGTATTTATATAATTTCAATATATAAATCTATTTGTAAAGATATCACTAAAAATATTTTAGTAAAGATACCATTAAATAAAGAAAGGATGGATTGGATCCCTGAAGATTGCTCTGTTTTTGGGGTGTTTTTCGGTTGAGAATCTTTTTTATAACTGGAAATACAAATTATGTGTGTTATAATTGAATTTGTTGAGTTATATTAGGAGTCTATCGCTTTAATTGATTCACTTACCGTTTTTAAACAACTGAAGACCTTTTTTTTCCCGCAAATTCCGTTACTGTATTCACGAATACAACTCGCGAATACACTCGAATACATTCTCTGCTTAGCTGGATCCCTTGTTTTCCGCTGAGTTTTGCTATTGTATTCATGAATACAGTAGAAAATATACATCGAATACAGTTTATAACAACTGAAAACATAGCTATAGGAAGTAATTTAGTAAATGGTAGCTATAGCAAGCTAATAATTACTAAAACATAGTGGTTTCTGAAAATTTCTCTTTTTTAATTCTCGTGTGGTGGGGATTTGACAAACTCCTACACGTTTATTCACTAAAAAGAAAAAGTATTAATAGCCTGTTTGGCTAAGCTTTTCCAAGGCCAAAAGCATTTTTTTTTAAAAAAAAGTGCTTAGTTTCCAAAGTTAAACTGTTTGGCCAAGCTTTTACCTGAAAAAAGAAAAAAACGCTTTTGAGTAGAAGCAAAAGCAATTTTGGAGAAGTAGAAAAGTAGTTTCTTTTAAAAAGTACTGTTTTGAAAAATATTTTTTTAGAAAAAATACATTTAAAAGTACTTTTTAAAATCTTGACCAAACACTAATTGTTGTTCTAAAGTACTTTTCAAATTAATTAGGCAAACACAAATTACTTCTCACCAAAAGTAATTTTAATAAAAGCATTTTTGAAAGAAAAAAAAACACTTCTCAAAATTCTTGATTTTAGAAGCCAAGGCTATAAGAAGGACAGGAGGTCTTACCTTCCTATTTTTAACATAGAAGGACAAACCTTATTATTTACAAGCGTGCAAAAAATAAGAACTAAAAATAATTAAAGAAAACAAGTATTAGAAAGTACACCCAGCCAATTTAAGCATTTATTCTTTTTTCTTACATGATTTAACCTATAATTCAGAGGTTTCAAAGAAGAGAAGCGAAAGAGGCTAACTATTTGATTCATTGTTTACGTGATGTTTAATATTTGATTCAATGCTCTTCTGCCGCCTCGTACAATTGTTTGGGCAGCTCTACCATTGTTAAAGCAAAATACTCAAACTCTATTGTTGAAATCTGTTAGATTATGGGTTTGGATCATGGGTCGCTCCACGTGGGATGACCCGACCCATTTCAAAGAGATAAGATTAAAGCTAACTTCCCTTACAGCTTGTTTGGATGGGTGTTCCTCATTGTAACGTATTGTATTGTTATCTTAAAACAACGTTTGTTTTGATTTTTTCATTAAAATTGGTTGTATTGTATTGTTAAATTCATTGTTCCGGAACAATGGAAAGTCCCATTTTTTGAAACAACCGATTTGGTGTGGTGGGATTGTTTCCTATTTTCCTTTCCAATTATGCCAACTTATTACTTCATAATTCTATTTTACCCTTTAACTTTTTTTCTATTTTAACTCCAAATCTCCAACATATAACCTACTTTATTTGTTTTCAGAACTTCTGCCGCCTTCTGTTTGATTTTTTTCTCCTAATTTGCTTTTAACTCAATTCTAATTAGTTGTGTTCCTTTGTTTTGCCTTCTTCTGTCTTACTCCTTTGTTCTACTTTCTTAAGGTGTTTTGCCTTCTTCTGTTTTGTTTTTTAAAATTATTTTTATGCATAATTTTTGATAAATTTAATATTTAAACAATTGAGGGTATTTTAGTAAACTTATCAGTTACGTACAGTACGATACAGTCAAACCAAACAGCAAAATATTATTTAACAATAACAAACAATACAATCTATCCAAACATTCTATTTATAAAACGATACAATACAATACGACACAATACAATACAATATATTATAAAACGATAAGGAACAGTGATCCAAACAGAGTGTTAGAGAAGTTATTGTACACGGTTAAAAAGATGAACCGCTTCTCTAGTGTTTCTCTCCCCAACAAAAACGTTCCCCTCTTCTTCAACAAAAAAATTCTTCTCTGTTTCCTAGTCCAATAAGCACACAATGTAAAAGATATCCTTTCCTAGTGGATGGAAGTTCGATTTGGGAAAATTATTTTTGGCGGTGTCAAACCTTCTTTTTTTTCGAGGGAATAGAGAGTTTTTTCAATTTAAGTGATATTATTCGAAATTGGATTATTTATTTAATTCATAGTCGTCACTATGGATAATTTATGGTGTCCCAAGTCACCGGTTTATTTTTAAAATCGCAAATCGAGGAAATTGACTCTATTTATGGTCTGCGAACACAGAAGACCGGGTAAGGAACTCTGTTAACCCGGGAGAAGGTGTTAGGCATTCCCGAATTCCGTGGTTTTAGCATGGTTGCTTTAATCATACCTGGCTTAATTAATTAGTTACTTACGTATTTTTAGAACCATATGCATTTTACCTTTACCGCTTTCGATTACTTGGTTATGGCGTTATAGAATTATCTGGAAACGGATCCGTTTATTTGGTGTGCTAAAAATCATGTCACGCGTACGTGTACATAATTACTAGTACTTTATTTATTTATTAAGATTGTTTTGCCAAAGTCGCGCGAACGCATACCTTGATTAATTTTGGGAATCGTAATTATGTCACGCGAACGTGTACACAATCACGTAATAGATTAAGCCGCTCCTAAAGCATACTACGATGTCCATGATTTATTTTCCTAAACTTGTTTGAGATTATTTGTGAGGCTATTGAATTATGGAAGTCATTTGTAGATGAAGTGAAATGAATTAATTATGTAAAAGGTCGAGATAGCTCTTATTAAATTGGGCTAGCAAGACTTGATTCATTAACTTAGGCTAACTTATATTCTAGCAAGGGCGGGCCAAAAAAATGACTTATTGTTATGTCCCATGTGTGTAAAATCCCTCAGTGATACAATGTGACGTCCCAAAGGGTCATCACCTGTTTTCTCTTTCATTCCGTGCTTCCGAGGCCTTGAAAACCTCATTTTTACTTGCCTCGATTTACGTGCGC